CTTTCTTGGATATCCTACTTACCTGGTCCATAATGTAGTGCTGGATCCCAGCTGGTGTGGGAGACAACATGGCCCTTTTATTTGCCTTTAGTATCATAATTCAGTCTTCTCTTCGGGAAATTAATTTGTTAGTGCAGGTTTTCTACTAAGTCTTTTGCTATTTTCCAAATGCACAGTCAACATCACGTATTTTGACACCCAATTCCATCTAGTTGAGTGTTTAATGGTGTACAATCAGCATGCCATCCTGTGACTTCAGAACATGCAGGAGACAAAAATTAATATTTATTATTATAAAATAATTGTAAGTTTCACCACTAAAGTGATGCAGGTACTACATAGACTTTTTTTTTAATTAGTAGAATCATTGTAAGAGCACAAAAAACCCCCCAAAACGCATTTTTTTGTTCTGTTGTACTGACAATATCTTCAAAACATTCCTTTTTCATTTGGTGATAACCTGTTTCCCACAAGTTGTATTATACAGAGCACCCTTAAGCAAACCAAGCCTAGCATGGAACAATTTGTTTAAGATGTGATTTTTATCATAACCGAGAAAAGGACTGGGAAATGTATTTTGATAGATCAGGCCTGGTTTGGTCTCCATTTTTAAAAGCACATGAGTTACCATCTGCTAACCATGGTGCAGAGTGGCTGGACTGAGCCCCTGATCACGAGTGAGGCAGCTCCTGCTGTGAGCCTGATTTCCAACTTCCACCTCTGCTTTCCTTCTCTTCATCATGCCGTGGCCCCAGGTGCTGGGTATCACTACTTGATAGCTGGTAGAGAGAAGACAAATGGATCCTTGTCATCACTGACACAATGCAGTTCATATTAACTGTTTTATTCCTCAAATCAAGCTCTGGGATGACTGAGAATGACCTTAGCTTTACAGATCTGAAAACAGACAAAACAGGCTTAGCATAGTTGGTGCCAAGACTTTTATTTTCCCTCAGAGTAGTTTCCATCAATGCTCTCTTAATGTCTTTGAAGTGTGACAGATGCAAACTCTTATGTTATATATGAATTCAGGAATGGGTACAGTACCAGTGGGTGCAGTTACTGGTGTCTGTTTACAGTTGAGCTACCTGAAATGAGTCTGTCTGACTCCCTTCTTGATCTCAGTAACAGCTTTAGTGCAGTACTTTCTGAAGCCTTGTCATGGGTACTTTTAATTGATGGGGTTTAACCATGTAGTTTCCTTTTCAGTAAGAAAAAAGTTATCTCCCATTTCCTCATACTGGTGTTAGATTTATCATCATTTTAGCCAAGGGAAATTAGATCAATGTGGTTTTTTTAAAGTACATCCCAGACAATGAAGCATAACAAACATTTTAGAAACCAACAACAGAGAGAAGCAGTCATCATGCCAAATCAGCCAGAAATGCTGACGGAGTGAAACATGTAGATGCTATTTGTTCTTGTGATTCAGAGCCATAAATCCTCTGGGGACATTAGGTGTCTGAACCATCTGCCCTTTGGCACCTCTGCAGCAAATGGTAAATCCATCAGTATCACGTATGAAACATCTGTTCTCAATCCCTATTTCTTCTTGATTTGGGGAAATCTCTCTTTTGTTCACACTTCGTAAGATTAATCCTAACTACTGGCCTTAAAACTTGTCCTTTTAGTACCTCTGCTACCTATTTTGGAGGAATAATTATTCCTTATTCAGCTTGCTGGCTCATAGGAATCCTTTGCCTAGGCACTTATCTGTCTCTGTGTCTGGGCACTTAGCCCAGGCTGTAGATTTCAGAGGCAGCAGGGTGCCAAGAGGTTAGACACTGTAATGCTGTGAGTACCTTTGTGGATCTAGCATTTCATCATTAGCTGAAAACTGATACCCTGTTATTGGTTTCAGCAACAGCTGTATATGCAATATATAGGTAAGGATGTATACAAAGTGTTTTGTGTGTTGGAGATAGCCTGCACAATTAATTATAAATGTAGCAACAAGGCTGAAGTGCATTTTATTTTGTTGCTAGTAGTACTTAACACATTCTTCAATGCAGAGATGCCAAGATACACAGTACACTCATGACTGAACTTGCTGCTGCAATGATGGAATGGTGTTTCTTCTACACTATTTTGACTGAAAATAGCCTTTTTAGATACTGCAGTTTTTCATTGCTTGATATCCATTTCACACAGATTGTAGATGACTGTATGTAGTTTATTATATTTTTGCAATATATGCATTTGAGTTTTATGTGGATAGAATGATATTCTTTTTCCTAAGGGCCATTGCATGAATAGAAGGAGTTGAAAAATATACTCTCAAAATATATGAGGTAACAAATTATTCCTTTATTATTATGTCAGTTTTTTAGGATCTGTTTTACTTTATGTGCTGAATGACTTTTGGGACAGCTGTGAGCTTGGCTTTTTTTCCCCCAGTTTTTTTTTCTAACAGAGAATTGCTGATTGTTACATTTACAGGATATCTGCTTAATATTTCTCTTATATTTCAGTCCTGCTACTTGAGAAAGAGGTTGCAGTAAAGGAATTTTGAGTGTCTATTTCTATATCCTACTGTCAGCTTACAGAATTGGCTAAAGCTTTTTGGAGTACAATGTCCATCTTTTCATGGCTGGATTTTCAAAAATACAGTGAATATGAGGGTCACCTGCTATAAAGGCTCATTTGGCGTTACTGACAAATTAGTTACCCATCATGGGGACCCAAGATTTTCAAAAACATGTAAAGAAATTTGTTGCCAGAAAAAGGCTCTATATTCCATTTTAAAGCAGATAAGGGTAAATAATTTATATCTTTGCACTATTTATAGATGGTAAAGAATTATGTACAAACATTTTTTGTTAGAAATGGAAGGTGTTCTGACTTGCAAATATTATTTCTTTCATGTAAAGCAGAGAAGAATTCAGGACAAGCCTATACTGTAGTGCTCATTTCTCAATCTAATAAAATAATAATGTAGCATCCCAAGAAATTGATGTATAACTAAAAAAGGTGGTATGGTTGCCTGTGACTGAAACTGGCTGGTTTAATTTGGAAGTTTTTATTTTTATAGTGGTAGTTGATAATTCCATGTTTCATTTATGCCGTGTCTAAACTTGATTCAAATTTAGGATCTGCCTCTGCAGGAAGCTGTTGAAGTCAATGGGATTCTGCAAAGGCAGAAAAAAATCTGATAATGAATCCTTAGCATTTTAATCTAATCTGCTAATGCATCCTTAGCTTTTTTTATGAATCGTTTGGATTTTCTTAGAATAGAATAGAATAGAATAGAATAGAATAGAAGACCTATGATGATCATGTAGTCCAACTGCCTGACCAAATCAGGGCTGACCAAATAGTTAAAGTATGATATAAAGGACATTGTCCAAATGAGTCAATCACTGACAGACTTGGGGCATCTTTTGAACGATTCCTGTGCGTTTTTTGAGTAAAAGAAATAAAAATGCCCTCGTGAATACCTTTATTTTGTTTGTTTTGCTTAAAGATGAAATACATTAAGCTTAAGAAAACTAAGGGACGTCTATAGCATCTTCATGTTTCTCTACATCCCAAGCTTCACCCAACTGTACATTTTTTTATTGTTCAAATCACATTGATGGTGTGGATCAACCTAATGTGTGAAGTACTTTGGAAAAACAGAAAACTGACATTTTGATATGGGGAACAAGACTGCTGAGAAAGTTGGAAATCCTGCCCATATACAACATAGCCATCTAACTGTGACTTTAGTTGACTACTTACCTTTAATACATAGACACATCTGTGCCTCACAGGATTTTATACATCAGAAAATGAATACCAGCATTCATTAAAAATAGAACAGCTCTTTTATAACACATTCTTATTCACACTGAAGACAGTCTTCTATTTAGATACAGAGCTGCAAAACTTATAATTTGCTTTGCTTTTGTCTAGTAACATGTAACTTTTTGTTAATAATTTTCTTAATTTCTGGGTTTAATTAATGATTAGGTTCTCCACAAGAGGCTCTTATGTTTGGAACAGCAACAGGCTAGGACTAATTTTGGTGGGAGTCAGATGTACCAATGAGAATCAAGCAATAGTTCTTAAAGAAAAAAAATCCAAATAAAAAAAATCAGAAAACAATCATAGAAACATTCTTACAGTATAGGAAGCTGGTGCCAATCTGAACTAAGTGATTCATGAAACAGGCTCAAGGAATCTTTCTCTTTCCATGCTCAAACACAGATAACAGTGCCATAACTGGGAAGTAGAGATTCCCCTGAAATGCTCTATAAAAACTGATAGAAATCACTGAATTTCTGCAGAAATTTGGCCCTTTTTTCCCTGTTGCAGATAAAATACAAAGATTTCAATTAGCACTTTTCTCCCTCTGTCAGGAAGACATATAAATATCCTCTCTGAGTTTGTGTTCATTTGCTGATTAGTGATTTAGAATATTCAATGACAACCTCTTAAATATTTAAGACAACTTTTTTAAGAATGTCATAATAATAATTAAGAGTGTTCTGTATGTATTCATTCACAAGACAACATTGTGAATTCTGTACTTGATTCTGTAACCACAGCATTTATTGTTAGCATCATACTCTCTGATGAAAAGGCAGAGGTGTATGATAGTACCTGACACCAAAGAGCCACATTATGAACATAAGATAACTGTAAAGTTGTGGCTCCATGGTTCGATGCAACGCTGTGGCAAGGCTGGGTCCTCAGCTCCCATGAATTAGGTAGATCTGTGGAACTCAGTCCAGCTGAGCCAGTGTGGTGCTTGACAATATGCCTCAGGATGTTGTTTAAAAATGTGTGTAAAAATAAAGTAACAGGTAATTGTGTTGCACTCTTTAATGCAGCTTTAAATGTGTAAATTTGTACAGTTCATATTTCAAAATATGCAGATAATATCACTTTTGACTGTGCTACAGTGTCTCAGATTAGCACCTTGCTTTCTCTGCCTGCCTAGTTAACTATGGATTATGTGAATGTAGATATTTACTGTGTTAAAATTCTCTTTTTTTTATTCTTTTAATTTTTCTCAGGAGGTGTTTGCATTGCTCAGTCACTCAAGATCCCTCGGGAACCAAGACCAGGAGAATTTGAAAAGATCATCAAGCGCTTGCTGGAAACTCCAAATGCTCGAGCAGTGATCATGTTTGCAAATGAAGATGATATTAGGTGCCTGTTTTCTAATTTTCTGTATTGAGATGTTTCTCCTCACAAAATTTGTGGTTGACTTGTAAAAAATAGAGTAAGAAAGGATTTTCAGATTTAATCCCATGTAAAAATTCTTAGAAATCTGACAATAAGAAATTAAGTTATAATTATACAGTGTGTTGGTCCTTTATTCTGTGTGATTCTAACCTCTTCCTATATCCTAAGAGTGCAATAGATTCTTATTTGGCGACTGAAAAGGAAGAAACCAATAAGAATGCTAGAAGAATATGGCTAAAGATGAAACCAATTAGCTTGCATAGTGCTGTATCTAGAGTTCTTTACAGCTGTTGTTGAATAAGCTTTTGACTGTGAAAACTATTGACTAATTGGTGAGTGTAAGCATAGCCAAAATAAATGCTGGGAATTCTGAAGTTTTTTGTAAATGCTGTTTGTTTAATTGGTCTTTTGTTGTCTGTTTGTAGGCGAATACTGGAAGCAGCCAAAAAAGCTAATCAGTCTGGACATTTCCTCTGGATTGGCTCTGATAGCTGGGGGTCAAAAATTTCACCAGTTCAGCAGCAGGAAGAGATTGCGGAAGGAGCAGTAACCATTCTGCCCAAAAGAACATCAATAGATGGTAGGGATGCACATGGCACGAACCCCTCATTTTCTATCAGTGTTCTAGTACCCTAGGTCTCTTAAAAAATAAATTAAAAAAATCATGTAGTCCTTGATTACAGGGAAACCAGGAAAAACTTTGCAACTGAGTAATTTGAGTTGGCCTGATCCAGCAATCATTTAATATCTCTGTTGAGATGAGGAGATGCTGAATCTGCAATTAGGCAATTTTATACTTTTCTAATAATGAGGATATTTCTGGTCCAGAGCTTCTTACCCATAGCCTGGTGGTTCTTTGGGACAAATAGGGAGGGTAGTGGATGGATGAGAATGAGTCAGCTCACTCTCTGGGGAGGAGATCAATCTAAGCTCTGCTTTCCTCTCCGAACGTTACTTTAATAAGCCCCTATTAGCAAACATTCTGACTTGGTGAATGAAGTGGAAGTTGGTTTGATGGACCTTATTATTGTGAGGGTACCGGACATAGTAACATCTCTTAGTGTCTGGGTAAGTGTGCTAAACTGGTAAGTGATTAGAAAAAATGAGCACCATTGATTCTACGTGGAAAATTTGGCCACAGGGAAATATTTGTGAAGAGCTTAATCCAGATGGAATGTGTTAATCATGATTTTATTATGACTGCTGGACTGTAGGTGTAAGACTGGTGCAGAATATGATCAGGTTTAAGGAGGAATCTTTACTTTCCCAACTTGTGTCATTAAATATATAAATAGAAGCAGAATTTTAGGTGTCCTGGAAGCCCTCTGGTTCAACAAAGAGGTACCCCATGATCCTATATAGTCTTAAAATGAATTCTAATCCTTAGATGCTCATAAAATATCCTGTTATAATAGTTTATACCCAAAGCTTTTTTTTTTGTTCTTATATTTGTACAAAATTTGTTATTGTCTTTAAATGACTTTTTTTTATACTGTATCATATTTTAATGATTCTTTCACTTCTCTTGAATGTAGGATTTGATAGATATTTTCGGAGCAGAACGCTTGCTAACAATCGAAGAAATGTCTGGTTTGCAGAATTTTGGGAGGAGAACTTTGGATGCAAGTTGGGATCGCATGGAAAAAGAAATAGCAATATCAAGAAATGCACAGGTAACTGAAAGTAAAACATTATCTGTAAATTGTTCATAGGAGTGCAGGAAAGGAACAGCTTTCTTTTCATCACTTTTCTGGCTCCCTTCAATTTTCCAATGCATATTGCTGTGTTGCAAGAAAAATGTGACATTTTTTCTTAAACCTGAAGAAAAAATTCATGGACAATGTATGTGAAAGTTACTACTTAATTTGCACAAATCCAATCTGGTACAGGTTTTGTTAAAGACCTGTGACAGTAGTTCAATTCCATTTGTGTTTTCAATGACCTCCTCTCTCACCCCATCTGTAGTTGTCAATATGACTTTCTTAGTGAATGGGTGCATCACAGTAATTTTCATACTGTTATCCCTGAAGTATATACAGTTAAAATTAAATTTCTGTTTAAACTATTGAGGTCTTGATGATAGGTCAAATTCTGAACTCCTTATTAAGTTTACAAACTGTGAGGATTGAGTAAAAAGCAAATCAATATGTTCTTATTACTTGTCCTCGTGAAAGAAAACAGGATTCTATATCATATTATGAAACTGAAAGCCTCTATAAAGTTTGAACAAAAACTCTAAGTAATTGGCAATAGTTTTGTCAAACCTGCTTGCTCAGGCATCATGTCCAGATATAATTGTCACAACAGCTAATACAGCAGTTGCATCTGTAGCTGAGTTTGATCTTCCCTGAGATGTTGTTTTCTTGCTGTTCCTTGCAGAGTTTATTACAAGACTGTTACTTTCTGTGACTACAGCAAATTGCTTATGTTACATTTTGTGTAGACAGTTTTTACCCAATGTCAGGGCTCCCAGTGTCATTTCCTTAATTACTGCCACCACCCCCAGCCTCACTGGTCATGGCCACTATCTCTGTGACTAGTGTTAGCAGGAATACCCAATTTTCTGCACTAGGTACACAAGCTGTCTCTGATGTGCCTTGATTTTCCTTGTCTTCCACCAAATAATATTCTCCATATGGAACATGAACTTTTTTGTTCACTTGCTGTCCCAAGATTTCTGGCTTCCTGGTGACACTGTCATGCAGCCTAAGTTACAGGGGTGCCCTTCTAAACTTTCTGTGCTCCAGCACTCCACTTCTCCTGGGCTTGTCAGACAGACACACTGTGCAGTCTCCAGTGACAAGCACCATTAGTCTTACACTTTCTGAACCATCAGATTTATTATTTGTGTATTGTGCCATTGATTCAAACACTTACTGCACTGGGCTTCACAGTGCACAGATATGTCTCAAACAGAAATATGAGCCATGCATGCCATCTCTCATTTCAGCAATGCCTTCTCTGCAGCCTTTTACCACATACTCCACATAAAAAAAGGCTAATATTCAGTTACTCACTGAGCTAAATGATAGCTCATTATTCTAATCCTTTGCTCCTTGGCCTTGATTCATATAGCAGTAAGTCACGGCTGGGTAGTTACCCATGTCTGGAAAGGGATTATTTTGTTGTTGCTGTTTTAAGTGGAAAATAGATGCTTTTTTTAAGTTCTTCATGTGGAATGAGTGGTGTATGTGCTGTAGCTTGGGAGGTGCTAAATGTTACCACAGATGGTTGTACGACTTGTCTCATCCTCATCACATCTGTCAAACTGAATTACCAAGTGAAGAGTAGTGTATAAAGTGCATAGGCTGTATCTTGATAGGTCAAAAATAATTTGTGATTTGAAACAGATATCCATATATTCTATGGAATAAAATTATGGTATGCTTCCTGTGCCTGAGAATAGAAAGAAAACATATTTTCTACACTCAGAAAGTTAATATGGTATGAAGTAATGGGATGTAGATATGAGAAGTCAGATATGATGGTTGCATATGCATTTTCACTCACAGGGGAAAAACTTATGAATTCTTCTGCAAGCAAGAGTACCTATGAGTGATAGGACTCTTGGCTAAAACCACTTAAAAGCAGCTTAAAACAATAGAGGAGTCACTTGGACAGCAGTAGACCTGAAACAAGCTGGTGATTCGTCATGATCCCTGTGCTTATCTAACTCTAACTTAAAGGGTTGGGTAACAAAAAAAATAAAAAAATGTTCATTTTAAGTAAACTGAATCAAGAGATGGGGATGGAAGTTCAAAATAAACCTCCTGTGATTTAAGGAAAATGCTAGGTTGAGAATGGGTGAATGACCCTCAGCCCAGTCTGGACCCAGAGAATTACAGATGACTTCTTGATACACCTCAGCTCATTTGTGCACAAAAGAGAGGAGGCAATGAAATCCTTGCTGGTTCTTACTACCACAGCTGTCGAAAGAGATGAGTCAGTGTAGTACGATCTGCTCTGTCTGCTAAAGATTAAAGAGGAGAATATCCCGCCCATGAATTTATCTTTCCCTTGAAAGGTCAAAAACATTACTTCGTGGCCAAGTCTGCTCTGAAATAATGGTGGTAAATGAAAGAAATGAATGAACCCCTGAATTTCAGTAAGAATATAAGAGCTGTTACATTTAGTTGTATATAGCTTAATATTGAAAACCTTGAACCTTGCCCTATCCTGGTTGTCATTTGTCCTTCCAGTAGTTTCTCAGTCCTTATTTTCAGTTCAGTTCTTAAAAGGAACGTGCAGGTGACTGCGCAGCAGAACAGATTGCCCAGAGAGGTGGTGGAGTCTCCCTCGCGGAGATACTCAAGTACCGTATGGATTCAATCCTGTGCCGTGTGCTCTAGGGTGACGTTGCTTGAACTGATGACCCACTGTGTCCCTTCCAACCTTACCCATTCTGTTATTCTGAGATTCTGTATTCCCATCTCTAGTTTAGGACTTGAAGATTGAACTTATAACCACCATTTATCCTAATTTTTACCTGGACACTACAGATAATAAGATTCTCTTTGTGTTTTGTCCACCAGTCCAATTTGTATGCCATGTCATTGTCTCTAGAAGTGTTCAAGAGGTGTCTGCATGTGGCATTTGGTAGTATGGTTTAGGGGTGATTATGCTGGTGCCACGTTGATGGTTGGACTAGATGATCTCAAATGTCTCTTTCAACCTTGGTGATTCTGTGATTTGGTGATATCAGTGGCCATTAATACGGCGAAAGAAACCCAAAGGCCCAAGATACACTATAATCTGAAATTCCCCCTCTCCACAGATATTAAAAGGCAAATTGATAAAGTTTTTTCAGCCTTGAGATGTGTTTTGTTAGGCCCTCCTGTTTATCTTAGCTAGGAGATACTTGAATCTTTTTCTCATATAACATTTGTAATTCCCAACAACAATAAAACTGATATCCCTGTTCTCTGTTTAGTCAAGTTATTCATAGCTTTAAATATTTACTACCTGCAGTGAGGATGATACTGATCCAATCCAATTTTAAACATTTTTTTCCTATGAAGATACTAAAAAGTGCTTAATAGCGAAAAACATTTATCTCTTTTCTTTTCCATGTAATATCAACAGTCTTTTTAGCAGAGGAAGTCCTGAAGGGAATTTATTTTCCCTTAAGGTTAAGAATTACACAGCAACATAAGCCTTCTTACCTTCTGTTTTTATACATTACTGAATATCACAGTCTAGTGTTGTAATGGCTTGAACAGTTTATTCAAAGAAAACTGTATTGTTAAACTGTTTAAAAATTCTGTTTATTTGTGGTTGCTGCTGCTTCTTATTCCTAAAAGAATTCATGCTTTGGAGATATATAAAATAATAAGTTTCCTTTGAGTTTGCCAGACTGTTTGCTTTCTGGTTTTAACCATTTTACAGAAAGTAATTTTTTTGCCACTATTGATTTGCATCTAGCTCTGTGTGTTTCTGAATATGAGCGTACATTGATCAAATCCTCAATATTAGAATAAATCATTGAAAAATATTAGAGATTTTTTGTTCAAACTTTCTGGAATCAAAAATATATCAAATTGGGCCATTAACTTAGTACGCATGAAACAATAATTCAATGTCTACCCTACAACTTTTTTATTCAGGGAAGAAGAAAGACATTTACGGATAAAAGTAATTTATTTTTCCATTTAACAAAATGGGAAAGAATGGATTGAACCGTAAGTAGAGGTTACAAGAAGCCTTAGTTTACATATTTATTCAAGGTGCAACTTTCCTGTATTCAGTAAAAAGCTCTATAGTAAGACATGACTCTTCCAAAGATCTTCAACAGTCTTGTTTTTAGCACTGGAATCTCTTTGTGGGAATCTCTTTGTGAGAAGTGAGGAGATGAGAAGCTTTTCACTCATTCCTGTGCCTCAACAGAAAACTGTAAAGACAGAGACAGCATTAATCCTTTGATTCCTGTTGATTTTTCAAGAGGAAGGACTTGCGCTATGATTGTGGGAGATGGCAGATACACAATGCCTCTTAATCTACTTTAAATTTAACATCCTGAAGAATTTTCCCATATCTGCAGCTTCCCAGTTGACTCAACTGGTGGGCCAAGTTTTTGGTAGCTAAACATTTAGCTTTACTTAGAAATATTGTGGACTGACCAGATTTATTGTTTGCTTTCTCTTCTTAGTTCCTGGTCTTGATTGTTGAGCTATTACTTATCAGTCCCACCTTAAGGTGGATTTCTAGATCTTGTCTTTGTTAAGAAGTGTACAAAAGTATGAATATAATTACTTGAAAATCAAACAAAGATATTGCAGAGGACTGTTTAAAAAGTTGTATTGAATAGAGGTGGTGACAATATACACTATCACTTGTTCAGAAAAGCAAAACATAGTGATAGAAAAGAGTTAAGGGAGAAAGGTAAGAATGAAATGAAATCTCAGATTTGTTTCCATTAACCTCATAGACTGCTAATATTTGATTTCATTCTAACAAAAAATTCTGAAGTCCACTCTCATATACTTACACATGTATATATTTACACATGTAGATATCTGTGTTTGCATGTGTAAGCAGATAGAAATGTAACATGAAACAAAGCTACTTACTATGTCATGTTTTAATGGGTAGAATCATAGACTCAAATTCAAATCTGACATAAGAAGACACAGTTCCATTGAGATTTTTTTATTTTCCTCATAGATTCCATTGAAGG